TTCGTACATCGGATGTGTTCAATGTCAAGCACTTGGTGCCGTTCATAGGAGACAATTCAGACGAAGACGAGACCGGTTCAGATTCGAGGGCGAATCCTCCTCAACCGGGAGAGGATGATGAAGACGAGACCGCCATTGCGTACTTAAATAAATATGATCGTCTTCGGGTTTAGTCTTCTTATTTATTGCTTTTATTAAGTACTCTTTATTTCCTTTATTTGGTAACTTTATTAGGAAAATAAATATTTTGCAGTAGTAGGATACTGTTAGGAGTCTTTATTTCCTTTCTATTATTTATATGGGGTTCAGTACGATGTAAGGGGCAGATTATGAATGAAATAAAAACTGAGTTTGTTCTGTTCAACGAGAGAGAATCTCTTCTTATTCCCTTTTCGTATTAAGCTCTACATCAAAAAGGCTTAAAATTTTGTAAGCTCTGTACTGGGCTGAAGAAGCAAATATCCACGACAAATTATCACGGGCCGAAGAAGGAGTAACCTTTAGCTTTGAAGGATATTTGCTTCAGAGTAGCTGGATTGATGGCAGTTGTGGTGTTGAAGATTGATTATTGAAGATTGAACACTGAAAAACAATCTCCCGAACATTTTCACTTATTCAACTAATGACTTTTGAAAACGACTCCAGCACCCACAGTTCGACATAATTAATTATTGAAGATTGAACACTGAAAAACAATCTCCCGAACATTTTCACTTATTCAACTAATGACTTTTGAAACGACTCCAGCACCCACAGTTCGGCCACCCTCCCTTAGGACAAATCTTTGTCCTATCAAAAACAGAAGTAACATCGTGTGATAAATAAGGAATATTTAATGATATTTGTATAAAATAGCAGATATAATGAATAATAATCTATTATAGTTCACCTGCTTTGAGAGGAACAGGATAGATAAGCTCGAAAACAGCTGTAACATTGTCTCCAGGCATAACCATCTTCACATTTTCAGGAAACTCGACTTTACCGGTGACATTAGCAGTCCTCATGTAGAATTGAGGTCTATAATTCGAGGAGAAGGCCGTGTGGCGACCACCTTCCTCTTTCGTGAGGACATATACCTCTGCCTCGAATTTCGTGTATGTTTTGAGAGTACCGGTTTTTGCAATTACCTGTGTATGGAAATGATGCATGCAAAATTAATAATAATAAAAAAAAGATCTTTGTCTTGAATTTTAATTCTTCTCCTCTCGAATATTTTAACAAATTCTGATCAGCTAGCTAGACTAACCATTCCTCGTTGGATATCATCACGTTTCAAGCCTCGTAGAAGCAGACCAACATAGTCGCCAGCCTGGAAAACATTTGAAACATGATAATTCATAGATATTATATCAAGGGTGATGAGAAACATAAGCCCTTACCTGGCCAAAATCCAAAGTTTTCTTGAACATCTCAATATCAGTTACCGTGATTTTAAGTTTGGTCTGTAGCAAAAGTTGACGTGCATCATAATATAAGGAATCCAATGTGGTAATAGGAAAAAAAAAAAA